TTGAACACTCGCAGCGCGTCTGCTCGGGCATGATCTTGAGGCTGACCTTATAGCTCCATGGAAGCACCGGATCCCGCAAAGCGTGTAACCCGCTCACAACTTCCGTTACCTGATAATCGCTCGCCTCTCAAGGAAGCGCGAATAGCCCAGCGCGCCTACCACATGCACCCAGCAGGCACCGTCCAGGACGACGAGGACGACGACGACGAGATTCTCCTGTCTCCGCGGAAGAATCGCAATTCAAAGCGCTCAGCTTCCCCGCCGCCCCACGACGAATACAACGAGTCTACTGTAACCCACGACGGCCGTGAGCTCAAACGTCTCAAGCGCGACCCGGAGGATGCAGAAAGGCGTGTAAAGCGTGGTGCGGAGGCTGGAGGCAGCGACGTCGAAAACACCGACACCAACATCCGAACCACCTCTGTTCCGTCTCACACGCGCAACCTTTCCGAACCCGTCGTAGGATCCATGAGGAAGCACTCGAAACCCCGTTCTACCTCGGAGCAGACCCCTGCCTCACCCAAGGGCAAGGGTCGCGCACGATCCGTTCCAGTCTTTCCCGTCCTCGACCTAAGCAATGCTCCTACCATACCCTGGACCCGCCGCGCCCGCTCGCGTTCACCGTCCAAAGATCGAGATTTTCCCAAGCCGCCCATGTCATTTTCCTCATTGGCCTCGATCCCCGATGAAGTAGGCACGCCACCGGCCATACCCACGACCACTGCGCCTGAACCTTCGACAATGCCACCTCCCGTCATTCTCGAGCCACCGTCAACGCCCATCGCTCCCTCAACCTATCATTCCGTGTTTGCCACCCCGATGTCACCTTTGACTCCGCTACCAGAAACCCCTCGGCCATTCCAGATGCGTGCGGAAACCCAGGCGGACTACCCACGGTCCATTGGCTGGGGTGTTGATCTCGCGGTGAGTCTCGTTGATCTAGAGGGTATCGATCGTATACTCACTGGCACGCGACAGGATGTCCAGAGAATCGAGGGTCTTCCCGCCTCTTCCCTGTTTCCTCTCATCACTCCTGCCCCTCCGGCTCCCTCTGTACCGGACTCGCCCGCCCCAGTGGAAGATACCCAACTCCGTGATACCGCAGAAACGAAAAAACCCGCCAAGGTGCCCGCCCAGAGCCGCCTTCCGCGGCCGTCAATCATGGGCCCACCGCCCGTGCCAGCGGCCTCCAATTCCAACCCAACGACCAAGAAGGACCCCAAGGCCTCTTCGAACCTCATGGGCCCGCCGGCCATGCCCGTCCCGAGCAGCAGCAGCTCGACGTCGACGTCCGCCCCCCCGAAGAATGCTTTCAGTGTTATGATGGGGTCTTCAGCGCGGGGCACAGTTACCAAGGGGAAAGGGAAGGGCAAAGAGAAAGAGAAGGCTCTCAAGCCTGTTGCTTCATCCTCGATGGCACCACCCGCCAATCCGTCATCAACCTCCGCGGCCGGGAGTTCGAAGGTGGTGCCCAAAGCTTCTGTGCCCAAGGATAAGGGTAAGGGGAAAGGGAAGGAGAAGGTGGAAGAAAAGCCAAGGGAGGAAAAGAAGGTTTCAGTCAAGGCAAAGATGCGGCTCCGGGAAAAGCCCAAACCCATCCCGCTGCCCATCCATGCTCGCCTTCCAGAAGAAAGCGACGGCGAGCGGACGAGCACCCCCACGGCCACAAGTCGCCCAGAAACGCCGACGGCATTTGCGGATGATGCTGTTGTGGTACAACCATCGATCCACGTCGAAAAAGTCCCAACAGTCCAACCCGCCCGCCGTTTTTCGAGCCCATTGACGGACCTATCTGACGAGGAGGAACCCAACGCAGATCTCATTGACAATGATGGACCCCTTCCTCCGCGATCCTCCTCTCCCGATATCTTGCATTCTCCAGCTGGAGGCCCGCAACCAAATCTCGCCGAGGTGCCTGCCGAACACCCCGCCGCCGCTGCAGGGGATGGCGCCTTGGACGTGGAGATGCCGGGGCGCCCTGCTGAGCTCCCTGTCGAGAGCACGCCGCATCCCAGGGACGTCGTTATGGATTCTGTGGATGAGTATGTTCCGCCCGCAGATGCATCGATGTCGGGCGAACCAGGACCAGAGATCCACAGTGCCGAGCCTCACGTTGACCCAGGGCCGAAAGGTCGTCCCAAATCTCGTGTCGGGAAACCCCGCGCGCCGGCTCCACTCCCGATCCCCGCCGACAGAGTAACGCGCAGCGCGTCGCTGAAGCGTAAAGAGGCGGAAGGCGGAGGTGTGTTCTCGGCCTTTTTTTTTTGCCTTCATTACGCGTATTCATTCTTACGTTTTGGCTATTCAGTGCCCGCACAGAAGAAATTGTTTTCATTCGGCGTGGGGCCGGTGGGCGTCGGGAATCCGGCCAAGAAGCAGAAGATGAACGACGTCGACTCGACCTCGCGCTCTCAAGCTGAGTCGTCTGGTTCTCGGAGCAAGATCCCGATGGCCTCTCCGAGCAAGGCGTCGTCGTTCGCGAGTCCGACGAAGGCCAGCGCCGCCAGAGCTGCGGTCACGAAGACCCCGACCAAGACCAAGCCTGTATCTGCTGCAGCAGCGCCACGCGGCTCTCCGTCTCCTTCAAAGAACAAGCTGGCAAGAGCTTCTAGCATGTTTACCGCAAGACCGCCTCGTAAGCATGTTCCCCTCTGACTGTATCCTGTTTTGATTACTTTCAGCTTCTTTCACGCGTACATTTACAGGCCCGGGCGGAAACCCTTCGTCTCTCCAGACCTTGGCGTCAGCACTGGAGAAGCTCAGGATGCCTCCTCCTGAACGGCCGAATACGAGCATGGGCTTCAGGGACGACACGGATAGTAGCCTTGCGGAGTCGACTCGAAGTGTTGATGACAGGAATATCGGCATAGGTCGTCCGAGCGTCGGACTGCAAAGGGCATCTACTGTGGCCTCTATTGCGAGTTCTTCGTCATCTACCTCGTCTCTTCCGGGGGACTCCTCGAAGCCTTCCTCGTCCGCTGCGCCCCCTCTGAAATCTGCTCTAGTGCAGCGCCCGCTCTCCGCGTTCATGGCCCCCAAAGGCGCTGCTGGCTCTTCAAAGCTCACCGTCGGCACGGGCTCCATTATGCGCGGCGGACCGAGCGTATTCGGAGGGGCTGGGAGGGTGAGATCGGCACCGAAAGTGAGCCGTAATCCGGGGTTGCCTAGCGTCATGGGTAGCCCTGTCAAAGGCGGGGGACTCGGGGACGATACTATGCTCGAAGAGGAGCTGATGGACGGCGTGGTTGGGACAACAGATGCGGTCACTGAGCGGGTCACTTCTCCTCGTGGAGTGACTTTCGACTTCTCCAGTATTCTTGAGCTCGAGGGCGGTAAAAAGGGTAAAGAGAAGGAACGGCTTCCTGAAGAGTGGAGGCAGAATGCGTCCAGGAGAGCTTCCATGGCAGGGCAAGACCTTTCGAAATCGGTGTCCCTTCCTCTAAGGCCTGTCGGAATGATGGGGCCACCAGAGACGCCCTTTGATCGCGTTGGGGTGCGCAGCACGAGCAGCAGCTACCCTTCCTCTTCCTCCGATCCTTCCGGCTCCGATGGGATGCGGAGGAGCACCCGAATTGCGAAGAGTGCTTCCGCCGACACCTCCCTTGGCGACGAAGACACTGCCGCGTCAGAAGCACAACGGCCGACCATCACTCCCGTTCAACCTCTGACGACCCTCAAAGGCTGTATTGTTTTCGTGGATATCATCTCCGAAGTCGGGGATGATTCGGCCCGGTCGTTCATCATGGACATGCTCAAAATGCTGGGGGCACGAGTGCGTTCTTAAGCGTTGTCCGTCATTCTTTGCGCTGACAGATCGTTCAGGTTTTAGGCAGCGTTGGCCAAACTTGCACCCATATTGTCTACAAGAATGGCTTGCGGAGCACATATACCCGCTACAAGTAAGGATCTCTCCACCAATCCAGATATGACCTGACCATTTTTCAGAGCGTTAGCTGATCCAAAGCCGCTTGTAGTTGGGATGGAATGGGTCGTCCAATCTGCAGAGAAACGCAATCATGAAGATGAGACCCCATACCTGATTGATATGGACGACATGAACACTACCGCTGCCAAGGTTCGTTTCCTTTCAGTTGATGACATTCAGTCGTTGATGAAGGATTACACAGCGACGTAAATCTATGTTACCGCGACTCATGTCCGGTGGTATGGACGATGGTGCGGACGGAGATTATTCTATGGATGGCTCGTCGTCTTGTGAGTGCCCATCCGTTTTTCGTGTCAAAAGTTGGCTTACAGGCGACTCAGCCATGACAATGGATGATGATCTGGCGCCATTGGAGCGGGCGAGGCTGCGGAAGGCCGGAACTCTGGGAATTTAGGAGTTCAATTCCCGTTGACGAACATCATGATTTTTTTATTATTGCTTGCTACTTACATATACTTCTACTGGCCGAGACGGTCTATTGCGACATGTGGATTCCATTTTCAACCTTGTATTCTTATCGTGAATTTGCCTCTACATATAGGGCCCCTAGGATAGCCTGAACCAGTCCTGAGTATGAATTGTTGCAGTTGTCGGGGACGATCATCGTAAACAAGACGCAACCAGGGCCACTCTTGGACCCAGAGAACTGTGAGTTATATTTGAAACAGGGTTTCTCAAGGGATGGCCAGAGTATTCGGGGTCAGTCGACGACGCAGATGATGCTTCTTTGTGATTCGATGTTAAGAGCGCGCCGGGGCGCTCTGCACCTTGGTCGTCGTGATGCTACGTGTGCCATGTCGTGATGTCTGGAGAGATTTGATGGGAGAGTTATCCCTCCGAAAAATTCTCGGGAGACTTTCTCTCAGAGCTCAAAAATTCTCTGCCCTGGAGGTGTTGTCCTAATCGGGATGAAAATGATCGGAAGTTGCAATTTGTGATGGGTAGTTCGAATCTGCATGTTACCCTCTCAAGACTCGACGTCATTCTCAAAGTAAACGACAAGTTCCACTGATGAGAATGAAGAAGGCAAGCCAAAACCAAAAGAGAAAAATTCTGACAGCAGTGGGGTTCGAACCCACGCCCTTTCGGACTGGATATAGATGAAGTTGGAATATCATTCTTGCGAAGAAAGATGCCAAAACCTAATTCCAGCGCCTTAGACCACTCGGCCATGCTGCCGCACCGTTGTTAGGTCGAGCAGAAAATTCTGACCAGAATCCATGAGGGAAACTTGGAAAACCAGTAACACCGGCCGAGATAAGTACAACCCGAACCACTTTGAGGGACGTTAAGTACCTATGTAGGCCTTGTTTGAACCAGAAATCAAGTCTTCGGTGCCGCAGCTGGAAAGATACCTGAAATGACCTTTGGCCCGAATTGATACATAGCTGCAGGGTGAGACTTGCAAGTACAAATGTGTCGAATCATACTGTGGATTTCTACGCGGAAGAAAGTCCTCTTCGCCTAATCGGGCTCAATATAGTTTGTTCGGCGTAATGCACAAACAAAGGCACGTGCTGTCTCGGTAATGTTGTATCGTCACCTCGGCACTTCCCGTCCCGGCCCGACTCCAACCGTTACCTCCAAATCCGTCTACATGTCTCAGTTATTCGATCTTGTTTTGCGAAATAATTAGGGCAAGGGCTATTTCGTTCATATGACTCTACCTATGACTTGGAGATGATTCAGCCGCAGTCTCCGATTTATTTCGACTCAATACGAGGTGATTCGTACTTACTTTACTTGGTATTTTGCTAAAACCCTTCACCCTCGAATACGGTACCGAAGCTTGTATAAATTAGCTAGTTACCGTCGAATTAATTCAGAATTCTCTTGCTCTTCTCGTTGCCTGACCGGAATCAGACCCGTCCTCGAATAGAGCAATACCTCACTTGATCAAGTGCGGGATCTTGTCTTCATCGACAACCGCCTTTTCGAGACTGGTATCTCGACTGTACGTTGCGCCAGTATACTCACAGTCACACAGGGAAAAAATCTCTAACCCGCATATATTACAGAGCTCTCAACCCGACTAGTCGAACAAATTCTCGCCACAACGGACCCATCACAGTTTTTCGAGTCACCGTCCCTCCCCAGCAATCCAGCTCCAATGACGAACCCGCCAACCGACCCATCCCTTCAAAATCTCGCTGCGGTCCTCGGCCCGGATGTGTTCCACCAATTCGAGCCCATCCTCACCAATATTGCTGAGCGACTCTCAACCAGCGAGACCACCATCGGTACCTTGCGTCGCGAAGCTGCTACACAGGAAAGTCTCATTTCAGCTTTCCGTGAAGCACTTAGTGGGGCTACCTTTCATACTAGAACACCCACTACCCATCCCGGCGGTCGCGCATCTTCATTCCGCATTGACCTCCCGTACTTCCGCGGTACCATCAACGAAAATTTTCGCGCCTTTTGGTCTGTCATCGAAGATCAGCTTCAGGCTGCACAGATCCCCCGCGAGAATTGGCCTGTCACCATCAGCGGCCTCTTTCGTGACAACGCACAAACTTGGTACCTCGCGAAGAAACAGGAAAATGGTGGGAAGCCACTCACCACGGACGCGCTCTACCGCCAGCTCAAGGCCGAATTCGACTCTCCCACCCGCGTCGACGAGATCCGCCAAGGCCTTACCACCGTGCCCTATCGCCAGAATGTCTCCAACTACATCCTCAGCTTCCAGCGCCTCGAAATGCAGCTGGACGCCACGGAGATGACCTTCGGCGACCGCAAGTTCAACTTCACGCGCCCGCTGCCCCCCGACCTGTCGTTCCACATCTCCCGCGCTAACCCGACAACAATGGCGGAGGTGTACGATGCAGCACGCACTTGGGAACGTCACAAGCGCATCTCGCAACCTCACCACCGTAACGACCGCGAACTTGAGCACCGTCACCATCACTCTGGCCGCTCGAGTGCGCCCCCGACTCTCGCCTCAACCCCGTTCGCCAGCACTTCCAACACCGTAGCAGGCTCGAACGCGCCTGCTCCGATGGACCTGGACACCTTCGAACATCGTCCGCGTCGTGCTGCGTCGGAAAATTCGCCGGATATGTCGAGAGTACATTGTTATAATTGTAATAAACTGGGACATTGGGCTAAGAACTGTCGTCTTCCGGACAAGCGTCGCCAAAATTCGGCTCCTGGGAACAGGAACTTGAACCATCGCTCCGGAGGACCACGCCTGATGTTCCACTTCGGCGACCCACAACCGATTCGCCCCCGCGACACCGCGAAGCCCTATGGTCGTCCCTCCATCAGCACTAAGGAGGTTGATGCATTCCTCAAGACATGCGTACCTCCCGACGCCGCCGCAAAACTTCCCGACAAGCCGCTCCAACCACTCGGGCTCCACGCAATGCAGGCCTTCAGTCTCGACGATACCGAGTCTGAGGGACTGCCCGTCTACGCCGCCATGGTTTACGGCAAGCCGCGCAACAACGCTGGTCCCACACTGGGGGCATGATGCAATCTGCCGGCCCGGCAGATGTGCGGCAGATGGCGGGCAGATAGGAAAACCGCCCGACAAATGCCCATTATCTGCCGGCCCGGCAGATATTGGGCAGATATCAAATCTACCCGATATCTGCCCAGCCCCCAGATCCCGAGCAGATGTTGGGCAGATTTGATATCTCCCCGATATCTGCACGTTATCTGCCCTGCCAGCAGATTCAAAATCTGCCCACCGAGCAGATTTTGAGCAGATGTCAAAACGCCTCGCGGCAACACTTGCTATATCAGGCTATAAAAGCAAGCAGCTGACCTTTGCGGGAGCCCCCTTGTCCCAAAGGGCCAAAGTAGCCGATGCCGCACCCGAAATTCCGAGGCAAGCAAACACCCGAATGCACACCTCCAGCAGCACATGTTGCGCCAGACGCGAATTCGCGTCGGCGGAACAGGCGCTGCTGTGGAGGCTCGATCCACGGGAACGGGGGTGCCACAAGCGCCTGAAAAGAGGCGGCCACATCGTTGGGAATGAAGATCTCGGACATTGTAGATGAGCTCCAGTATTCTTCGGTCATATTGGATATAGTTTGAAGGAGCTGGATGCTGACGGACGTCCGTCAGTTCTGGATGCGAACTGTCACTGTCCCACGCACCTGTGGTGTTTAAACAGAGGACGCGACGCGACTTTGTTTGGGGAGGATGTAAAGCAAGACTTAGCAAGTGTAAAGTTTAGTCAATATCCCGAAAAGGAAGTCCATTACTTGCCTGCCTCCTTCCCAACTCCTTCCTCAGCGTCGACTCGCGCCAATCCCAGGCTCTTCGACTCGACAACCCACCTGCCCTACATTCTGAGGGCTGGAGACAGTGTTCATTTCTTCTGCCTGCCTTGAAGTTCTGGCCATTGGAACGAAGGTCTTGGTCCAGCATGCTGCTCCCGCGGGTCTACGGCTCCTTACATTCAGTTCCTGGCCGATTTCAACAAGCCAATGCACTTTCGGCATAATTAGGATGTCCTCTCACCTTGCGCCAAAGAGGCCGGTGCTCTGAGCAATAACGTGCCCGCACATCAATGTTTTATCAGCGAGGTTTGCTGAAGTGGGACAGATAACAAATGTGAGTTGAATTCATTCAAATCTGGACCGATTCTCCGAGTTTCACTCACCATCTCGAACTTTAGGATTCCCTCCCGCCGTGTTTTATAGGCCCCGGCGCTCCGAGCAAAAACGAGTCTGCACCGTCGATGTTTTATCTGCGAGGTTTTCCAATTGGGACGAATACAAATGTGAGTCAAATTGATTCAAATCTTGACCGATTCTCCGAGTCTCGCTCAGCATCTCATACTTTAGGATGCCCTCCTGCAGTGTATCAAAGGCGCCGGCGCTCCGAGCAAGGACGAACGCGCACGCCGATGGTTTCGCGGGGAGGTTTTCCAGATTAGGACGAAAACGAATGTAAGTCGAATTTATTCAAATATTTATCGATTGACCTGATTTCACTAACCATATGGAACTATAGGATGCCCTCCCGCCGTGTATTAAAGGCCCTGGCGCTCCGAGCAAAAAAGAGTCCGCACGTCGATGTTTTATCGGCGAGGTTTTCCCAATTGGGACGAATACAAATGTGAGTCGAATCTATTCAAATCTTGATCGATTCTCCGAGTCTCACTCACCATCTCGAACTTTAGGATCCCCTCCCACCGCGTATCAAAGGCCCCGACCCTCCGAGGAAAGACGAACGCGCACATCGATGTTTTATCGGCGAGGTTTTTTGAATTGGGACAGATAACAAATGTGAGTTGAATTCATTCAAATCTCGATCGATTCTCCGAGGCTCACTCACCATCTCGAACTTTAGGATGCCCTCCCGCCGTGTATCAAAGGCCCGGCGCTCGCGAGCAAAAACGACTCCGCGCGTCGATGTTTTATCGGCGAGGTTTTCCCAATTAGGACGAATACAAATGTGAGTCAAATTGATTCAAATCTTGACCGATTCTCCGAGTCTCGCTCACCATCTCAAACTTTAGGATGCCCTCCTACAGTGTATCAAAGGTGCCGGCGCTCCGAGCAAGGACGAGCGCGCACGCCGATGTTTTCGCGGGGAGCTATTCCAGATTAGGACGAAAACGAATGTAAGTCGAATTTATTCAAATATTTATCGATTGACCTGATTTCACTAACCATATGGAACTATAGGATGCCCTCCCGCCGTGTATTAAAGGCCCCGGCACTCCGAGCAATGACGAGTCCGCAGTTTGATGTTTGCATGCGGAGCTATTGCAGATTAGAATGTGAGTTGAATTCCGTCAAATACCTATCGAATGACTCAATATTACTCACCATCTAGAGCTTCAGGGCGTCCTCCCACCGTGCACAAAAGGTGCCGGCGCTCCGGACGATAACGAGCGCACACGCCTATGTCCTCGCGCAGAGGTTTTCCGGATTAGGACAGGTACAAATGTGAGTTTAATCCATTCAAATATTGGCTGATTAACTCAATCTAACTCAGAAATTGTCGAAGTTGGTTCGAAGGCCACGGACTCGGAACAAAATTGAAGGAGAGTTCGAATGCGCAGAACGGATCCCGGTCCGACTTGCCGGTTTTGCTTGCGTGGTGATCGGTGCCTTTTCAGAATCAAACTTTTCTGTTCTTGATCCCCAAACACGTTGTCTTCAAGCATCAAGGTGCAGTTGGGAGTGCAGGAACTACAACTACAAGCTCAAAGTTCTTTG